GCCTTATTTATTACAGATTGGCTTGCCAGACAGGGGAGCCTTTTGAGCCGTGAGGTGTATGGAGGACGACTCCACTTCCTCAAGAAGCAGACAAAACAACAACAAACATTCTTCGGAGTCTTCAGCCTATCAAGTATTACCTGAAGTTTATTTTTTTATTTTTAGGTATTAGGTATTAAATGAAAAAGTTTTTGTTAATAATAAAAATGGAAATGTAATATCAATAGAGGAAAACAGGCACAAATCACAGGAAACATCAGTTATTCTACAATCTACATTTACATCATTTACCAATGAAGAGGAAGTTTTCAGAGTACTTTTAGTTTTACTACTGTGTTAGTAATGGACGAGTACACTCGGCATGCTCCAAATGTTTTAAAATTGTTTTAAATCTCCCAGATTACCCCATTCCCAGGGGTAATTAGGGATTTTTTTTTTTGCTTCTGGCACCTTATGAATAGCGTTTGGAATTTTTCAGAGATGCCATAGTTACAGACTACTTATAAGTTATAGGCTGTGCCTGTAGGTAGCCTTAGGTATAAGAATTAGCTAAGCTGCTTGCTGCTAGCTATGTAGGTACAATGTATTGCAAGTTTGCAACACTTAATGCCTCTGTACCAAAAACATACAATTCATTTGAACGTAATAGACACTAAAAGGCAACAGATTTATAATAGGGTAAACGCGGTATATTCCGACACATTAAGGACGCATCGAGAAATTAAAAACTATAAAAAAATAACCGTATGCATTACTCGAGTTCTGTTTGCTTAATGTGACTCGCAAAACACCGTACTACGCGCCAGCAACAATGAAACGTCACAAAATGTTGCCATATTTATTTAAAAGCCTTTAGAATGCAAACCTACCTAATCCCTATATTCCGACACTGTGTGTGGCAATATTCAGCACATGGTGAGGCATATTCCGTCCGCGCTTCAAATTCTACTGATACGTAACGGTAATGCCATCATCCACGTGTTCGAATTCCGTTTGCTGTGTGAGCTGTGTTGGAATACAACATGGCTTTGAATTAGAACACTAATGAATATTGAAGACTACTTAATTACGCTTTTAATTAACAACTATTAAGCTTTTAATTAACACGTTCCCCGCGTATCCAGATTTCCCCAGTATTCCCTTATTGCGGAAGGCTTTCAGTGGTTGCTGCTTCAGTTAGGCGCCATTGGCCGCGACAAGAGGAGGTGTGTGCTGCTCTGTGGCATCATAGCTTTGAATAGCTGCAATAAAAATGTTGGGACACATGTGGTACATTACGCAAGCAAAAAATAACCACATGTTGTTCTTGCGTATTGTACCACCGGTGTACCAAGTATTTATTGAGCCATATATGTACCATAATAGAATAGAAGGGAACAGAAGGGAATAGAATGGAACAGAAGGGAATAGAAAGGGATAGAAGGGAACAGAAGGGAATAGAATAGAACAGAAGAAAATAGAAGGGAATAGAAAGGAATGGAAAGGAATAGAAGGGAATAGAAAGGAATAGATAGGAATGGAAGGGAATAGAAAGGAATAGATAGGAATAGAAGGGAACAGAAGGGAATAGAAGGAACAGAAGGGAATAGAAGGAAATAGATGGGAATAGAAAGGAATAGATAGGAATAGAAGGGAATAGGAAGGAATAGATAGGAATAGAAGGGATCAGAAGGGAATAGAAGGGAATATCGGGCAATAGAAGGGAATATAAGGGAAAAGGAGGGAATTATTAGGTAGAATTATTACAGTTACTTATCGTTTGTTCAAGGAGATTTGCGAATACATTCCTGTGTCATTGATTTGTTTTACTCAATACTCCACTTTTTGAGTGAACATAAATATTATAAAAGAGAAAGTTTACGTGCAAAATTTCGAGTTTTATGTGTTTTATTTTATGTGTTTTATTCAAAACGACATAAAATACTGCGCTTGGTACACTGGTGTCCCAATACGCAGCAGTGGAATATCACTGTTGGTACACATATGGCCCAAGACGCGGTGAACGTGTTAAGCAAATTTTAATTTATGTACATAGCTTGGAACGATCTGTGTGTGTCCAATTCAAGTTGTGACAGAATTAGTTTTCATGTGTCTAAATCCATTCCTCAACTTAATCATCTATTAATTTATTTACCACTTGAAATCAGCAAATACAAGTATACTTAAAGGATTCCTAATATATTCACAGACATATTTAAAAGTCTCAAACCATAATATTCTTCCTATACAAACAGTTATTCACTATTTGGTAGAGCAAGGTCAACTGTCAAATTTGACACATTTTTCGATGATCTCACTGGGTAGCGTGCATTGTCTCTCTTTGGATCTCAATATTTTCCCGCTCGATGGCCAAGACCTAGTGTTTTGGCAGTAGTTCGACGCGCAAATGTATGACGTCACCATTTCAACCATCAATGAACGCATGGAACTAAAACAAAGCTTAATATAAAGGAAAAACTAGAGAAGTGACGGAATTACCCACGATGTCAGAATATACCACGTTTACCCTATTCCAATTTGTCATAGTTCATTTAAACTAAACCATAAATAACAAATACCTCAAAATAAATTGAAGTCTGCCACTCAATATATTTAAATATATAAAAAAACATGATTTTTTTATAAAAAATCAAATTATTTAATCACATGATTTAATCAGTTTGATTTAATCATTGGTCATTGACAACCCTGCCAAACTTGTTTATAAAATGTTTCATGGTAAAAAGTTATCAATGAAGAAGGAATAAGATCATCCCTTATTATTCTGTTGTCTGTTTGATGGGTATGGGTCCAGGGTACCTAGTAGCTAGTCTTGCTCTCTAGTCTCTTACACTCTTATAAGAGAGAGAGTAGTCTTGCTCTCTCATGCTGACATGCTCTTAAAAAAGAGATAGTAGCTAGTCTTGCTCTCTCATGCTCTTATAAGAGAGAGAGAAGTCTTGCTCTCTCACGCTCTTATAAGAGAGAGAGAAGTCTTGCTCTCTCACGCTCTTATAAGAGAGAGAGAAGTCTTGCTCTCTCACGCTCTTATAATTTGTGTTCAAACTTCAGCAAAAAGTATCCTGTATGCAACCTTGTTTATGGCATTTTTTAAACCTGTTGTCAGGGTTGTTCTTAAAACCATTATGAAATTCTAGGAAAAGTCCCAAAACACAAAGAAATTTTTGACAAGCCCTAAGAGAATCATCAAGCTATACCTATGTGAGAAGATTTGGATAATTTTGGAGGATGAAAGTAAGCATCCTATGATGTGCCTGATACATGGGAATTGCTGGGTCAACAATCTTCTGTTCAGCTAAATAGTTCAAGTGAGCAAGATAACCCATGCTGCCATGCAAGGTGAAAGACATCATGTTCATAGATTGGCAGTTAGCTCAATTTAAGAATCCATGCCTCGATCTTCATTATTTACTGGTAACCTCCACTATTTCAGCTATATATCAGAAACACCATGATGATATTTTGCTTCAATTCCACAAAAACTTTCATGAGCATCTCAGAAAACTTGAAAACCCTGTACCTGATTGGAACTTTAGGCAGTTCATGGCTTAATTCACATGCACTTCTTTGATAGGAAGTCCACTCTGCAATCTGCATGCCTAGTAGAGACATGCACATTCACTGGATCTCTTAACAAAGCTGGCAAGAAAATAAGTACCAAGGCTAGCAGTCCATCTGAATGACCTGGAAATGCACTTGCCAATAGATTGAAAAGTGCAGCTGCTAAAGTGCTGACTCATATTGAATTCATCACCAAGGTGGCAACAAAAAAGATGTTTGCACCCATGACACAAGAACAGGTGAAGACAGGAATAAAGTTTTGAGGGATTGGTTCATGGATCTCTAGCTCGATGCTGAGACAAAGGGCATTTTTGACATTTAGAGACTGGAGGTCAGGCTGTTTATCTTACTTAGTTCCTCCAAACTTTTGTGCTTATGTTGCATCAAATTATCATACTAGACTCATTTTATAGTAGTAGTTAAAACCTTTCTTTTAATACCATGAAGTATTGTTAGCCACATTTACCACCTTATGTTATTATATCCAATTTGGCTTCTATAATACAGTAAATTGCTTTTTCAAGTTTAAAGGTTTGCAAAAGAATTGAAGGCTCAACTATTCCTATGTTGTATTGTTGTTAGTTTGTGGTAATACTATTTATCTACATTGTGTTTATATATTTTAATACTTTATTTGTTTACATAAATGTATGCTGTTATTTGATTTATCTGCAGTTTTCAATTTTATTTCTTGAACACAGTCTGACTGAATGTGTTGGTATCAGGCTTAAGGTTAGTTAAATCTCATTAATAATATTTTTCAATAGATATTATTTTATAAATCAGAGAAAAATAATTTGTTTGCCTCAAATTTTGTCTTAGATCCATCAAGCTGAGGGAGGAAAGTTTAGAATAAAGATCATTTCAACTGATTATCATTTATGTCTACCAGCCAACATCTTACAGGAGATTTATGTTGCTTTAGATTACAAGCTTTCTCATGTTCTACCTCTTGTCAGGACCCGTTCTATGGTCACAACTTGTATTGTTGATGAATGGATGTTTCTGAGGGAGATAGTTCTTTGTAAGAGAAGAAGTATAGTAGTCTTGAGTTTAAACTGGAGTAAGAGAGAATTTAAGACAAAATTCACAACTTCAGGAATTTATTTTAACTTGTGTCAACATGGATTGTTTTTCTTTCCATTTCATTGCTTTCATTTATTGATGAATGAAATTATGTCTAAATTGTTCCTATACTTGATTTCAGCTTCTTTGAATAGCAGATAACTTACTTGTTGTTGGGATGGTGAAAAAATGTCTGACTCAAAATTGCTTGAGGAACTCCTCTCTGAAGCTGAATCAGTTATTCAAGATTATAAAACTAAATATAAATCTAGTGACATCTCCAATTTCACTCCTGAGTTACTTCCTGATATGAATTCGAGTAGAAATGTCAATCAAGTTGTGAATGACTCAAGTTATTCTCATAGCTCATGCCATGCATCAGACGTATCCTTCAAAGGTGTCAGTGTAGAAGCCATTAATTTTACAAACAGTTCAGGAAAGAAGCAAGATCTGAGGAGTAATTATTTGAACCTTAGCTCTGATTTGGCATTCATTTCAGCCTCTCAAGTTACACTGCCCTCCATAAACCTCAACAAAGGGTGAGTTATAATAAACTATCACCTAATTATTAGATTATTTCCCATTTTGAAAAGTACTTGAAATTTAGTAAATTGAACCTGTTAAATGGTTCTAATTTATTAGCTTGTATAATTTTCAAAAATAAATCTCATGAAACATGTCTTCAATTGTTGACCTGTATGATTTATTGCATCAGCATTACTGAGCTTACTTATTTAGTGATTAATAAATATTCTATAAAAATATAGGATTTTTTTGCACTTGAACATTTTTTCAACATAATCAAATCAATTTATAGTGACTGTTTACTGTAAGAGGTACTTGTATCTATGTATTAGAAACATTGGTACCGGTATGCTTTATGATTTTGATAATTTGAATAAAATATCATCTTCAACCTATCTTCTTCACAGCTCTAGTCAGGCTCTGGTTATGAAGGCCATCAAGCAGGTAATTTTGCCATCACTGGGATGTTGTATTCTTGAGATGCTTTTTTCTTGCCTAGGTAATTCTGGACTTCATCTCCAGAGATACTTTGCTTTTAAACATATTTACACATGATAATTATATGGCTAGCTGCTGCATCAAGTTTGGCAAAGTTTTAAGTCAAACATGCTATGCTTTTTTATTATATGGTAGTACCTCAAATTTAGTTTTATATTTGCTTAATTATGTAAGTTACCATTCCAACTTTGAACTAAATAATCTAAATTGTTTGTTTTTCAGTTGCATTTCTGTAATATTTCATTTATATAATTGATAATGTGCCTGTAATTTGAATCCAGGAAAGCCGCATGTCCTAATTACTTCATTTTGCTTCCTTTTTACTATTATAAATCAAAATAAAAATTATTTTTGTTTCTTCTCCAAGCCTTATTCTTCATTGAAGCTACACAGCCTGTGCAAGTATTTGTTCTATCATAATATGTATTGTATGGGCTTTTTAGAACAACTATCAAAGTCTAATTTGACAGTGTCATGATGAGATTTATATTGTGTCAGGGGCAATTCGAAACTCTTGTCTGTATAATTACACCATTCTTTAGTTCATGAATAATTTTCAACTTTCAGAGATGAAGATGGTAATGATATCAAGTATGCAGTGGAAAATGTTACCAATTACAGCACATTCAGCGATCAAGCTGGAAAAAATGTAACAAATGGCAGCACCTTTAGCCATCATGCTGAAAAAGAAGCTGTTGCTGCTGAGCGTGACACGAAGGTGTTGTCAGAGCTGCGGGAGCTGTGCTGGGTGTTGCTGTCAACTGCCTCGGCGGCTCTCAGAGACCAAGCCAGACTTGCAAAGTAGGATATCCACATTCTTATGTAACATATCTAATGACATATTCACAATATAGTTTAAGTTACAAATTTTTATAATCATATTGCATATAGATGTCCTCAACCTCATACTCATCCACCATTTACTGACCTCATCTACCATGACCAGACACATCGAGACAACAGAGGGTGCAGGCAGCTATGTCCTCACGTCAGGTGTGGATGGCAGTGAGGCACAGACACTCGTCTCACAAGCTGCCTCACGCTTGCAGCATCTTCTTGTGCAGGTAGCATCAGCCCCACAATGTTGGACTATATAGTCAGATGGGGTAAGACAGGACCAAAATCACTAACAAGCCTGTAGCATCTATACCATGAATAACTAAAAAACCCTAAACCTATCACAAGGTGTAGTTATGCAATGGGCTTCTAAGCTACAACTCAGACGTTTTGCATCTAACACAGTTTTCTGTACAGATTAAAAAAAGTGTGCTGGTCCCATCTTACCCCATTGGGGACCAGGCTGGGGTAAGAAAAAAAGGACCAACCGGTAATTCTTATGTTACAAGGTTTTTAATAAAAGTACAAATCTGATATTCAATATTATCCATCTAGAAACACATTTTTTGATTAAACAACCACTTGTTACTGTTTTGTGTTGTGGGAAGTCAACTCTAATATCAGTCACCCTGAAGTTTTTGTCACGAGAAAACTTTGTTAAGCATAGTAGTAATAGTGGGTTGGCTTTGGTTCATTGTAGAGCACTGCTAAATGCGTCCTGTATATTCCATTAGTGTCATTGTTTGAAAAATCTATCAAATTGGTAATAAAACCAATGGATAATAACTTAAGTGTCAGAAGTCATGTGTTTTCTTGCTAACTGCATTTGTGGTGCACTTCTTCAAACATAACTCATGCCCTCTCACAGAGTTGTGATCTTAATTATTTTTCATGTTTCACACAGTGATTTTTTCCTCAGCCAATCTTGCACATAGTTCTCCAGCTCACTAATGGGAATAGACATCCCTATTTTCTATATCCGTTTGATACAATTTAAAATAGTGCACTAAATTTCTCTAATTGAAAAAGCTAACATGTTATAATGAAGTTTGAGCAAAAGATAAAAATTTTGACCAAAATACTTCATGTACTACACAATAATATATTCATATCAAAACTATTTTTGATAACTGTAGGGCAATAGAGGACCATTTGTGGGGTAACACAGGACCATTTGTGGGGTAACACAGGACCATTTGTGGGGTAAGATAGGACCACTTGTGTGGTAAAACAGGACCATTTAGTGGTCCTGTCTTACCCCATGCCCGGTCCTTTTTTTACCCCTTTCTAGAATACATGTCAGGCAGCGATGGTAGCAGGTAGGAATGCCTAGTATGTCTAAAAAGTTGCTGTTAGGCTTAATACAAAAAACGGTAAACAGGTGGAACTTTTACTGTGGAACTTGATCCCATAGACGACTGGTCCCGCAAGCTTGAGGAATCAAGACGCATTCACAGAAATAAGGAAGGAACCATGTCCCAAAAAATAACGCTTGCTAGCTGGTTCATACAGGCTTGCCGACGTTACACAGGCGAACAAGCCCGGCCCAACATAACTGTGGAATCGAGAAATAACCTTCAAATATATGATTAAGTAAAACCGTATTATTTGTTCAATGTTTCAACAAGATTTAATAAATTCGCACATGGAAGCAATAAATTTACCAACCCAGAACATCCAGAAGGATTTTCAAATTCTAAGCCAGGCGCAGATGACGGTTCCAAAAAGATCGCAAATATCAGCTCATACTTCACTTTTCTCGCGCACCTTCGGCCCCGTCACTACGCTGCCAGACGCTGCCTGCCGCTGAAATTTACAATGCTCTCGCACAGTGTGCCGAGTTTAGAGTTGGAGCGTCCGTGAACGGGCCTCTTAAGAAATCATCAAGCTTTCCCAATATGTTAGGAACAAATATTTAAATTTATTAGAGTAAAAGCCGAAGCTCAAAGTTAAGGTGGTCGAGCCACAAGAAAAGGCCAAGCCCAAATTTAGTACTAGAGTCCGCCCTTTCCTAACCAAAGAAAGCGCGAACATGCATTAGTAACGTAAATAAATAAAACGAAAAACAGAGTGATCACTCAAAATAATAAATAGCATTTAAGAAGGAATGGCTTTATACACTCCTAACGGAGCAACATTAATGAGATCTTTACACCACGAAGTCTTACAGCCAACTCATACTATTTACAAATTCATACCCAACAATAGGTATGAAGAAAAAGAAACTTAAGAATCTAAGGAATGTGGACATTTCTAACATTGCCTATTACTTGAGGCTACCTGCCTACATCCAGTCATCCACAATTTACCACAAACATGGCCAAAAAATTTTTTGTCATTAGACAGAGCTTATTTCCCAATGTACTGCCTAGCCCGGGTCTCTAGGATATAAAGGCGGTCTAGGCAGTTGACGGCATGTTAAATTCAGTAAGGTCCAAGGAAAACTTGATATTTTTCGTTGAATGTTTACTTCTTAACCACCGTAAATCCTGCATGATCAGAATGTAATTAGAGATATAGTGCAAATAGAAATGAAATCAAATATTAAATTTATTATTATAAAGTTCAAAGGACATGGTTTGCTGTTTAGCTCACAACAGGAATCAATTTAAATATAAGTTAGAATTTTCACCGCCACTCAAATATAAGAAATGTGAGCATTCCACAGCTTGACTCAAAAGTTCTCATCGCTTGAAAATCAAAGACACGAAGACATGTAAGACGAGTCTTGACAACATTAAACATGTCGATTCTCTATGCTCACATTAGCATAAAAAGGTGAAATCTAATGGACAAAAAATGGTAAACACCATGATAACTACCAGCTCAGGCTAATTCAAAACAAACCGAGCTCTAAAGCATATCATCTTCTTAAGATATTTTTAATGCTAGTAATATCGAGTACCTATTATACTGGCCACTGTATTACATCTTGCAATGAAAAGACGCTCTAGTTAAACACGGATTACTCACGTTGCTCTGGGGTTGCCAAAAATTGAGTTTACTACTGAGTTTGAAACATTCTTTTCATTATTTTTTGATACCTGCGTCCTGCGCAGAAGATTGACATATTATAGACAAAGTAACAGGTATCCTTTGATTGTGCTGAATGATCTCTTAATTAAAAAATTCCGACACGCTAGACATTCATACTGGATCCATCCAACTGGTACTTAATAGATTGTGATCTACTACATTATGTGCTTCATTGGCACTCTTACCACTTGAATGGTTTATCATTCAAACAAAGAGATTCAACTTCTCTAATTTCAACAGTATGTCAAAGCTAAGTGAAATGGCAAGGTCATTAAACGTGGCTAAATTAAATGACGAGTTAATTAAACCCAAATCAGTTAAATAAACCATTTTGAAATTATTAATAACAGCTGCACAAATCTACCTCAGGCACTCATAACTAATTGATGATCTGATCAAGCAGGCTCCAACTCAACTAAGGGAAGAACATGTCAGGCTAGTATGACAAATGAGGCATAAATTGTTAGCTAATTAACTGATAATTAATTAGTAAATGATAATCTCATAGTACAGAACAATCAGGCACTACATTAACACTAGAATTCTACCAGGCTCAGAAAGCTGGGAATCACCTTTGCAAATGGCTGCCACAGTCTCCCACAAGCTTTTCGATTCAACACAACACAGTTCAGCTAATCTCACAAATAAATGTTCTCGCTCCTACTGGATGTCAAATTTGATAGTTTAGGCACAATTTAAATGATTTTTTATGCTAATAACAAAATTTCATCGCAAAATAGGAGCACAAAAGAGCTGCAGCGTTCTCGAGCTGCAGAGCACGTTCAGTTTGAATGTTGGGCGGCTTCGGTTCTGTTTCCAACTCGCGGAAAAATCCTCGAGGTTGGCGAGAAGTTTCTGTTTCCTGTTCCTTTGCGTTAATATTTATTTTATAAGCGTGACACCCAAACATGGTTAACTATTTTGTGACCCTTCTTTACATAGGTTTTCTTTAAAATTAGCCAGAAATTCATTATTTGCAGAAGAGAGTTGCCACAAACACTGAAATGACAGGCAATGATTGTTCTAACATCTTCTTTTGTCAAATTGAATTCAGTGCAATTAGAATGCACGCCATGGGCTGGTCCTTTCTTACCCCATGAAGGCTGTGATCCTGTCTTACCCCATTTGACTATAATGTTGTAGAATTCGACTCTAAAAAGCTAACATGTTTATGGCATCTTCAAGTAAAGCCCACAACAGTCTTCAAGATTTAATGTAATTCTGCTTCTTGTTGATTTTCCATTCCAAATGAATTTATTAATGAATTGCATTGTATTTCAATGTTTTTTATCATGTGTAAATTACCTATTATTCATTATCTGCAACATTCATAGCTGATGAACATGCATTTAAATACAATTCTTTTACAATTGTATATAAAATTTACATTTTAATTTAAACTTTACATTAAATTATACCTACTTTACATTGGAACTAAACTGTTCTTGTAATTTAATCCACTACCTACATTAAAAGTGTATTTACAGCAGTATTTGTTGACTGCACAGGTGAGTGCATGGCAGCAAGAGTCACAAGAGGCTGAGGCAGAGTGTACAAGGCTGTGCTCGCTACTCAACTCTCTGCTGTGTTGCACATCAGACACCCTCACCGCCTCTGGCCTGCAGCACCTTGCTGAGACTTCCCTTGTGTCACCCAGGTGCCTGTGGGGTTTTGTAGGCTACTGGGTGCGTAGCAGTGGCGTTATCTAGGTGCCTGTTAAGTGGTGTAGGCTGTGAGGCTGCTGGTGTTGCAGGCTGTGGGGTTTTATCTGGGTAACGGGTGGGTATTGTTGTCTGGGTGATTTTTTCTACTGTTTTCTTTTTTGTTTGTTGGGTTTGAGTTGTTGTCATTGACAAAGCTTTCACCAATATAATATCACAATTATTATTGTTCTTTCCACCTTATCCTCAATAATATTTTTTCTGTACTAGACGCAGCAACGCCGAGCGTCTAGTGGATGCAGCTTGTAGCAATCTACAGCTACTCTTGGAACAGCAGCAGTCAAGCAAACAGCTGCAGCTGCAGCAGGAACAGCGTGTGCAACAGCTGCAGCAGCACGTGCTTGATGGAGAAATGCAGCTGCATCAAATGACCGACAGGTGATATGACATGAAGGTTATGCAGCAGCCTGTTAGCTGCAACCCTGATGTGCTGCAACCGCTCTGAAAATTAATAACGTCAGATGATCTCTGCCTGACTGTGTTGCTGTTGCCACTACCCTGAATCATTTCTACGAATTGCTGCAAATGGAATACGTGTATTTATTGTTTCTTCATCATAAGCAGGCTGGCAATAAATCTCTTATCCACATTGTTGATGCGTATTCTGTAAGTGTGCAGGTGCGGCCAGCTGGTGCAGGAGCTGCAGGATTGCAAACGGCAGCAAGAACAGCAGCTGCAGCAGCTCTACGTGCAGCTGGCGAGGGCTGAGGAGACTCTTAAGCAGACTCAGTGAGTGGGGGAGTGGGGCCCAGAGAGTGGGAGGTTGTGAGCTCCGTGAGTGAGAGGAATTGGGACCAATGTGTGGGGGGACTGGGGCCCAGTGAGCTAAGGAAGTGGCGGGAGTGGGCCCAGTCTTTATAATTTTTTATTTGCTTACAACTTGACTTTTTCAGTTATAAATTCAGTTCCTGTAAAAATTTAAATTTTCTGACCTGAATGTCTCTTGCAGAACTGATCTTGACGTCGCTCAGTCCTCACGCAAGCTGAGTGACGCTGAACACGAGACGACAGTTGCTGAGCTGCGCAAACAGCTCACTCAGTGTCAGCTGAAATTCGAGCAGAGTCTTGACAGCTGCAAGGAGCTGAAGTGTCAGCTGGACCACCTGCAGCTAGAGTCAGCTGACCGCTTGCAGCAGATGTCAGCTCAGTGTGAGCAGCTGCGACAACAGCGTGATGCTATTGAAGCAGCTGCAGAGAACAGCACCAGCAGCATCACTGCTGCAGCTGTTGCGGCACGGCAGCAAAGGGATGCTGCAGAATCAGCAGCCGTATTGGTGCGAGGAGAACTGCAAGCTCTGCAGCAGCAATATGATCATCTGCAGGCGCTTGCAGACGACAAACAGAGTGAAAATCAAGCCATTTCCAATGAGCTTGCAGCCGTAAAAGAACAGCTGCGTGAGACTAGCAGCACCCAGGCTGCAGAGATTCAGCAACTGCATGACAAGCTATGCAAACAGGCTTGCAGCCTTTGCGAGAGTCAGCAGCAGCTGCGCAAAGAGCAGCTGCTGCAACTGCAGCTGCGCACCCAGTTACAGCTTGAGCAGCAGCGCACCAAGGAGCTGGAGGTGCACAATAAAGCTGCACAGCAGCAGGTTGATGAGCTGAACAAGCTGCTTGCTGACCATCTCGACAGACGCGTCGCTGATGACGTCAAAGCAATACTCAAGTCCCTCAACGACAGCAAAATCAACTCTGAAACAATACAAATCAGCTCAGAAACTATAAAAAACCACTCTCGACCGATACAAGATTTTACCTCTTCCCCCAGTAACACCAGCCTGAAATGTTCATCCAAGCAAGGCACTAGGATGAGTGAGACGTACGGAAAAGATGAGGTTCTCCATTGCTCTGTTGTGAAGAATGAGGCTGATCCTGTTTATTCACACAATAAATTATCAACTTCTGAAATTACCCCTCAGGAAAACCGCAATCTTTTTTCTGTAGGTCGTGAACTCGGATCAAGTTATCCTGATGTTTCTAAAGTCAACACACGAGTTCACACTGACAGATATACTCACCGTGACCGTGACAGAGTTACGCATAATGATTTACTTGATCACCGTGACACCCTAATGCTTAATAATTCCTGGACTCGAAGCAAAGAGCGAAACTCTGATGACATCCATGCCCTGGACAATTCTAACACGCGGTCTTCGCGAATTTCTCTTGCGTACCGAACACCACGTCGTGAGTTTCACTCCAGCAACCCTGATCTGCGCCATGACACGCGCACCCCAGAGAGGCAAGGCGTGGCGAGGGATGCTATGAGTGGTTTAGGCAGTGGTATTGTTAGAAGCAAAAGTAGTGGTGGTGGCGTTAGAGGCGCTTCTCAGGACTTCACAGCACAACTGGCGCAGTTACAAGCACTAGAAGACGATATGCACGCTTTGGCTCTCGCTCCAGTGGACGACCTATATACAAAGCCGGATCAGCAATACCTACCCCAGGTTAATTGTTTTAAAAAACTTGAATTTTAGATATTTCTGTGTGTACTGAGTGCGTCACTGAAATTTACTATCTTTAAACTCACCAAACGACCAAACGTCAGTAAGTGAAAATGGACTGCATGCATGAGAGCGAACCTCGCGTTTCTTGTTCATGTCACTGACAGTCACAATCACGGTCAAATAGGCTACTTCACATAACTGGCGCTCTCTCACGATTCTGCATCATATCCCCTCAGGGGGGGACTTCTGACGAGTGTCTATGCTCGTCAGAAGGCAGAAGCCCTAGGGGATTTCGTGCTCCTAGGGGGATTGTTCCTGAGCGCCACACCGCTGGGCTCGCGGTGTCTGACTGCAGGTCTCGGTTGTGGGGTTAAGTTATTATGTAGGTAGGATACCGTACATTTCCCTTCTCTGTCTCTCTCGTGCGGGTGGCCGACGTCCCGTGTAAGCGACCTCTTGTTCGAGTGTCTTCGTTTCTGTTGCTTTTAACCTGTCCCTCCTTGTCACTTCGTCTCTTTGAGATGCTAACGCTGCTTTTTTCAAGCCAGCTTCAGCGGCCTGGACAATTGAGACCTTCCGCCTCTTTTGGATGATGGATAATTTTTTATTTGAGAACCTTTCAATAATTGAGACCTTCCACCTCTTTGGTGATGTTCATCTTGACTTTCGGTGCGAGATAGTTAAATAGCTGAAGCGCTAGTAAACATTTGGCCACTAAACTAAAACTAAACTCGGCAACATATCCATGCAACTTCTTAATATGGATTTAGCTATAAATTCATTCAAAATTTGAAGCGCTGGTTTTTAAGAAAAAATTTAGTCATTTTCAGTAAGGTTTTGTATTGCTTCGGGACTCCTCAGTTTATTACTTCACCTTCAAGTGTTGATATCACCAGCAGATAAACTCAATATCCCGTCTTACCTCGTAAATTTGACGTCAACTTCCAAGCCATAATAATTTGTCAACATTTAGAGAGACATTACTCTCCTCAGTATAATATTGCAATTAAAAAGTTTTGAAGAGAATAGTGTGCAGATAAAATTTTTTCTTCTACCTATTCATAAAACATTTAGATAAACGTCACTTACCCAGATGCAACATTGCAATTAGAATATCGAATAAACTATTGCGATAATAAAATGTTTTCTCTTTCTAGGCGAAAACCCGAAGCTTTTCTCGCACCAGCATCGACTCAAGACTCTGCACTGACTCAGGGCTCGGCTCTAGTGAGCAAACCGACTCAGTCAGCTCCCCCGGGGGCGGCGACTCAGGAGCCGAGTTGAGGCGAGCACGAGCCGAGGCGAGGAGAGAGAGACTCGAAGCCGCCAAACTAAGGGAAAAATGCGCTCTACTACAGGTTATTATCTATGTTATATTACTTTGTATTTTAGGTTATATTGTTGTATGGGTTATAGTATATTATACTATTGTATTATTGTTCAAGGCTTCTTCCAGACCAACGATAAAAATCTAGAAAGTTATCACTAGAAATGTTGCTGGATGGTACCTAGTCCTTCATGAGGCGCGCAGTAGGTGTATTTTGTTTCAAGTTGATAATCAGGGCTTCATTCACTGAAGATAATCAATTGTTACTCAGCTACCACTCGTACATGATATTATTATCAAATAACAGTGTCCTGAACATGTGCTGGTGCTGAGTATATTCTTTTAACACGTTGACTACGATTGCTTCATCTTGTACAATTATTTTATTTTTTGTACTTTTTTTAAGCTGGGTTGCCAGACGGTCATTTTTTCCGGACAAATTCCGTGATGTTTTTCTCAATTGCGTTGGCCGGCTAAAATTTATGATAGTGGTACTTCCTAATTAAATTTAAATACTGCCAAAAGAAAATAAATGGAATTTTTATAGCGGAACCTACAAATAAACTAGTATACATTGAATTACTGGCCTTTTTTTGGCCTTTTTTTTTCTCGGATTTGGCCGATTTTAAGCAACCTGAATTATGTACCACTACCTCCTGGAGAAATACATTTCGTGGTACGCATATGTACCACTTCGGAGTCAACGTGTTAAACTGCATTGCAGGTGGAGGTGGACGCGCGGACCGCAGAAATGGCGGACGAGCGAGCGAGGCAGCGATACCGTCAGCTGTACAGGGTAAAGGTGTGTCAGCTGTACAGGGTCAAGGTGTGTCAGCTGTACAGGGTAAAGGTGTGTCAGCTGTACAGGGTAAAGGTGTGGCAGCTGTACAGGGCAAAGGTGTGTCAGCTGTACAGGGTAAAGGTGTGTCAGCTGTACTGGGTAGAGGTGTGTCAGCTTTACAGGGTCAAGGTGTGTGCCCTGTGTTTGTAGTGTGTCTGCTGTGTGTGTGTGCTGGGTGCTTCCATCAAACAATGTTTCACAATATTTTCACTTGTTTTCTTCCTTGTCATATTTCATTGTGTCCCCTCTTCCCAATTTCCTCGTCTATTTCTCATCTCGACACTCGTCTTTCAGCGGGACGAGTTTGGTCAGTTCTTGGGTGAGCTGGAGGAGGCCTGCAGCAGACCGCCTTCGGCCCTCTGCCCATGGTCTGCAGAACGTGACACGAGCTCGAGCAGTCGCCAGGACCTGCCAGCAGACCTTGCAGACCGCTGCAGCAAACAGACCACCCACCACACTTCTAAAACTGGTACAGTCTGGCGAACAAGCGATCTGGGCGCCTAAATCGATGGCATGATAGTTTTTTATTTTTTAAAGCTGTATTCGTTATTAAAGCATCTTAACGTGCAAAATAATCCACGTAGAACTACTTATGATAACGAAAGCAAAGCAAAGTGTCCACAACTTTAAAAATTAGCTTTAATTAGGGCAATCGAGCCCTGGTTTGGTTCAATGATTTTTGGCTGCGACGACCATATTGACATCGTAATATCCCATTAATGATATTGATGATAGAACTGCAACACATACTAAAGCTAAGTTATTGCCACTACAGTATCCCTTAGATAAACGAACTGTGACATATCCTAGAGCCAAGCCCTGAAATGCTAAGAGTGTCAGTCGTGTGCAGATGCTGATACAGGACGTCGATGGGAGCTGACAACGGCTGACGTGTCGGTGAACGGCGTGCTCTGTCAGCCTTCTGATTCAAATGATGATCACCAGCATCGTGATCCTAATGACGACCACCTGCTTCACGATTCAAGTGATAATCACCATCTCGATGCCGCCGTTACTGAAGCACCTTAAGGATAATCACCACCCCGACGAAGCTGTTGGTAAAACGCCTCAAGAATAAAGTGATAATCACCATCCCGCCGAAGCTGTTGATGAAGCGCCTCAAGGATGAAGTGATAATCACCATCCTCTATGATGAGTGAGCTAAAATCGCTCTCTATTATGAGTCAGAGAGCATCCTGATCACTTTATTAATATGAATCTATTTTTTCACTATTTAGTAAGAATATTATTATCTTTTATTATTGTAACTTCTATAAGTCAATAATAAAGTATTTGTTTGTTGACTAATTTAGGAGGTAGTATTATAAGTTTCATTGCACTGCCCCGCATGTGTTGTAAATTTTCTTGGTGGAGAGCTCAATGTAGATATGTACTACTGAAGCGGATTTGTAGTATACTCTTAGGAATAAAACGAGTGTTGTTTATCTATCTCAAGGGAATTATTTATATGTGTCAAAATCAGTGCCTATCTTGATTAGACGTGAATTAAGGAAGCGTGGTGAGTTCTGAGATAACCGCACCACACAAATCCGGTGTTAACTAGAACGCAATACGAAGTTTTAACTGACGTGAATACTAAGTTTAAATTGACGTTGAATGGATTTTTTACGATATTTAATGATGAAATTTGAATAATTAATTGTGTTTCTATTAACTCTTGAGACTTCTACAATGTATCCATGTGTGTAATAATAATTATATTTTTACAATAATGTCCATGATTTTGAACGTTCTTTCCTGGCTGTAGGGACCTGAATCACACAATAACACGCATGAAACACTGACATTCTAATTAAATATTCTTATTTTATTTAATCGGTAACGCACTTACAGGGAGATACTTCCTGAGAAATTCAGCTGCTCGCGCACAGCTAAAGGAGATAAAAGCGAGACATTTGCTTTTCAGCGTCTCTTCGTTTCTAAGAGATCTAGTTGCTGTTGTAGTAAAAAATGGGGGGCCACCCCCGGGTTTTACCCCGCGTCTTTCGCGTATTGATACTTGTATCTTACAACTTTATACTC